CCCTATAGTCAGCGATGGAATCAGCTGACTATGCCGAGGCGCCGGCATCCACAGCCACTCGGTCTTGGAAGGGTTGAGTCTGAGTCTGTTCCTCCCCATCCAGACCCTTACGGCCTCCAGGCAACGGGCCATCACGTCAAGGGCATCGTTGGGGTGGCCTGGGGTGGAAATGTACAGCTGCGTGTCATCAGCGTACATATTATATTATATTATATTACATTATTATATTATATTATATTATATTATATTATATTATATTATATTATATTATATTATATTATATTATATTATATTATATTATATTACATTACATTACATTACATTACATTATATTATATTATATTATATTATATTATATTATATTATATTATATTATATTATATTATATTATATTTATTATTATATTTTATATTATATTATATTATATTATATTATATTATATTATATTATATTATATTATATTATATTATATTATATTATATTATATTATATTATATTTATTATTATATTCCCTACCCCAAAAATAAGCCCCAGTTAAGATTGTCAGCCAGACGGACGCATTTAGTACCGTATTTCCCTAAAAATAAGATCTAACTGGAAAACGAGCCCTAATGCGTCTTTTGGAGAAAAATATTAATATAAGATCCACTCTTATTTTTGGGGAAACATGGGTATCTTACTTTTCCTTGATTTTCTATCACCCTTATGTCAACAGTTGCATCAATGCTGCTCCACAAAATCCAGACCAGGTGCCCCAAAAGGACAATGCTCCTTCTTTGGAAGATCAACTCAACTCAGCCATGGTAGAGAAGGGGATTCTAGAAGAGCAGCTAAAAAAGGAACAAGGTAAGGGATTGGTTGAAACTAGAAGCTTGCAGTGACTCTATGCAGCAACTTTATGCAAAATGCAAGACAGACCTAAGTGATTTTTTTTTTAAAAAAACGCAAATTTTGAATAAGGGAATCTAAATATACAGTCCTCAATTTATGACCACAATTGAACCCAAAATTTATGTTGCTAAATGAGAATTTTTTTAAGTGAGCTTTGCCCCATTTTACAAATTTTCTTGCCACATTTGTTAAGTGAATCACTGCCGTTGTTAAATTAGTAACCCTATAGTTGGCTTGAAACTCAACATTAAGAAAACCAAAATCATGGCATCCGGCCCTCTCAATTCCTGGCAAATAGATGGGGAAGAAATGGAGGTAGAGACAGATTTTATCTTCCTGGGCTCCAAGATCACTACAGATGGGGACTGCAGCGAAGAAATTAAAAGACGCTTGCTCCTGGGGAGGAAAGCTATGACAAATCTAGACAGCATACTAAAAAGCAGAGACATAACCCTGCCAACAAAAGTGTGTATAGTCAAGGCCATGGTTTTCCCAGCTGCAATGTAGGGCTGTGAAAGTTGGACCATAAGAAAGGCTGAGTGCCAAAGAATTGAGGCCTTTGAACTATGGTGCTGGAGAAGACTCCTGCGAGTCCCCTGGACTGCAAGGTGATCAAACTGGTCAGTCCTAGAGATCAAACCCGACTGCTCTTTAGAAGGCCAGATCCTGAAGTTGAAACTCAAGTACTTTGGCCACCTAATGAGAAGGAAGGACTCACTGGAGAAGGGCCTAATGCTGGGAAAGATTGAGGGCAATAGAAGAAGGGGATGACAGAGAATGAGGTGGCTGGATGGAGTCACCGAAGCAGTAGGCATGAGCTTAAATGAACTCCAGAAGATGGTAGAGGACAGGAAGGCCTGGAGGAACGTGGTCCATGGGGTCGCGATGGGTCGGACACGACTTCGCAACTAACAACAACAAAATGCTAATGATGCACGTATGGCTACTGTACCTGAGGCTATCCATCTTGCTGTTGTTTGTCTCTTTTCTTCCACCTTTCTCAGCCTTTAAGCCTTCTCCAGCATAATGTGTCCAGAGGAGCTGAGTGGCCCAAGTGGTTGGAACACTGGGTAGTAAGTTAACAAGCCCTTGTTTGAGATCTGAAAGCTGCTGTGGGGAAGGTTGAGCTTCTGTCCTTCACACCAGCTCCTCCAGGGGCATGGAAGGCCCTCCAACTGGGCTTCCCCAGGGCAATGGTGATGTCACTGGCTAATCCTTTCAACCCGGAAGCACCCCTGGCAATGTGTCCAGAGTAGGATAGTTTGAGTCCGGTCATTAGTTCCTCAAGGGAGAATTTGAGTTGATTTGTTCCATGAACCATTCAGTTGTCCTCTTGACTGTTCTCCTCTTGACTGTTCTCCAACACCAGAGTTGAAGACTATCCATATTTTTTCCATCTGTTTTTGAAAAATCCAGATGCACACACATGAACACACACACACGGACAACCTTTTTCTATACAGCGCTCAAGATGACTTAACCACAAATAAAAAATACAACGGATAAAACATAAGAATAACAACAATGTAATAACAACATAATGTAACATCTTCAATGTGTTGGTTGGGCCAAATCCAGTCCAGTTTTAAAATATCCTAATTTTCTTTGCTTTCTTTAACAAGCTCAGAATGATGCGCTGAAACAGGAAGTCAACTCTTTTCAGGAGAGGCTGGCCATCTTGGAAAACCAGGCGCCAGAAGAACCGCCTCAGTCCAACGCAACTCAGGTAGGTGGTTATGAATCTAGGTCGAGCAGCAAAGGTAACAAAGCTTAAGCCAAGGGATGAGTGGTTTTTGAAGTAGTTTGTCTTAATTCAGTCTGAAAAGAGTTCTTTGAAGGTGCTCCTGTCTGAACAAGCAAGAAGTAAGCATGCAAAACATTTCAATGCAGAATAGGAAAGCAGACAATACCAAAATAATATCGGTAGTAGATGATTAGGAGACTGGAGGCCAAAGCATATAAGGAACGGCTGCTGGAATTGGGTATGTCTAGTTTAACGAAGAGAAGGACGAGGGGGGGACATGATAGCCAATGTTCCAATATCTCAGGGGCTGCCACAAAGAAGAGGGAGTCAAGCTATTTTCCAAGGCGCCTGAAGGCAGGACAAGAAGCAATGGATGGAAACTAATCAAGGAGAGAAGCAACCTAGAACTAAGGAGAAACTTCCTGACAGTTAGAACAATTAACCAGTGGAACAACCTGCCTCCAGAAGTGGTGAATGCTCCAACATTTTTTAAGAAGAGACTGGACAGCCATTTGTCTGAAATGGTATAGGGTTTCCTGCCTGAGCAGGGGGTTGGACTAGATGACCTCCAAGGTCCCTTCCAACTTTACTATTGTTGTTGTTGTTGTTGTTGTTGTTGTTGTTATTATTATTATTATTATTATTGTTATTATGTTTCCAGAGTGGTAAGGTATCACACTGAGTTGCTTTGACAGTTCCAAGCATTTTAAATTCCATATTTTGTTTTCTTTCTGTTTCTGTTCCTTCCTTCCTTCCTTCCTTCCTTCCTTCCTTCCTTCCTTCCTTCCTTCCTTCCTTCCTTCCTTCCTTCCTCCCTCCCTCCCTCCCTCCCTTCCTCCCTCCTTCATTCCTTCCTTCCCTCCCTCCTCCTCCCTCCCTTTCTTCCCTCCTCCCTCCCTCCCTCCCTCCTCCGTCCTTCCCTTTCTTCCCTCGTCCCTCCCTCCTTCCTTCCCCCTCTATCTTTTCTTCCCTCGTCCCTCCCTCCTTCCCTCCTTCCCTTCCTCCCCCCTCTCCCTCCCTCCCTCCCTCCCTCCCTCCCTTCCTTCCTTCCTTCCTTCTTTCCTTCCTTCCAGAGTCTGTCAGCAGAAGTTCCAGAAAGAGATCAGGAAAAGACTGAAATCTTCATCCAGGATAGCCTCAAGCGACAACTTCATGAGGCTGAGGCTGCACATGCAGAGACAGTGCTAGAACTGGAGAAGACACGCAACATGGTCATTTTGCAGCATCGCATTAATCGGGATTATCAGGTGCAACCAAAATATATCCAGCACCTAAGATGGGGGACCTTGAGGATTAGCAATAAATGCAAATAAAATATTACTTGAGCAACAAGGTTGCTCTAGATAGATGTATATTTACAATTTCCCAGTTAGATGAACAATGTTCTTCTGAGGTTAAGCTTGGTTAGAACCCAATTTTGCAAATTTTACATTTCAGTTGAATATACATAGAATCTGTTGACTAACACTTAGGATGCGATGAAGGATTTGTTAAGGTCCGTGATATTACCAATTCTCACCTGTTAGAAGACGCTCTCTGCCTCTGGTATCTTTCGTCGGATGAGGAGAGCACATCTTTCTCCTTCTGTCCTGGTCACTTTTTACAGAGGCATGATGGAGAGCATCTTAACAAACTGCATCGCTGTCTGGTTTGGTGGTAGCAGAGCCTCAGATAGAAGGTCCATACAGAGAGTGGTAAGGACAGCCGAGAAGATTATAGGAAGCTCACTTCCCGTGATTCAGGAACACTGCTGATAAGCGCTTATATGTGCTTAGAGCTCGAAGCATTGTTAGAGGCCCCGAACACCACTTCATGGTCTGTTTCTATTGCTCCCCTCTGGGAGGAGGTTTTGAAGTATTTATAGCAAGACTACTACATTCTGTAACAGCTTTGTTCCCTGTGCTGTCCCTCTTGTAAATTCGCAGGATTCTTTTTTTTTTTCCCATGCATATGTATACATTCAAACTAGACTGTGATGTTTCTCTGTGTCATATATATGTGTGTGTATATGCATAATGGGTATATGCATAATGGTTATCCTTTGAGAGCGGAATGCAACAAAGTTTCATTTTAATGTATGCCGATACATATGTATTGTCATTTTAAATGTACATATAGTGTACATTTAAAGTGACAATAAAGTTTCTGTTCTACTCTACTCTACTCTAATTCTACTCTACTCTACTTTACTCTACTCTACTCTACTCTACTCTACTCTACTCTACTCTACTCTACTCTACTCTATTCTATTCCCTGGCCAATGACTGGCCCAGTTGGAAGGATAATAATTGTAAGAGGATACCACTGGTGAATGAATAGAGATCACTGATTATGCTACAAGGCAAATAGATGAAATGACGAGGAAGTTGATATGAGTTGTAGTTGAGTCTGTTGACTGCTCTTTTGGTTGGAGGTGGAATTAGAGAAGGTGCTGACGCAGTCCAGACAGGAGAAACAGGAGCATGAGGATCAGCAAAATCAGATGGACCAGCTTCTGGACCTGCACAATGCTCACATTCATCAACTTGAAGGTATGCACGTTGTCTCCTACTGCTCATTTTTAGGAATTCCACAGTTCAAGAAGGATTGAAAACCTTGTCCAATTCAAGAAGGAAAGATGTAGTCTTGAGGTACACAACCTTGCCTTCGAGACTGAAATCCAAGCATCCTTCTCTTATGGAACTGAGAAACCTGGCAGATGTATTTGAGGCATTTCCTTTCCTTGAGGTTTAATTTCCTTCTCCCTACCACCCACAGTTGTATTGTATCTTAGTTTCTAAAGTGAGAAGTGCATAGATGGGTTTTCCATTTCAGCAACCAGACAGTTCTTGGGTCACACATGTTGAGAGTTTGGATTACCAGTTGCTGATTGGTGGTAACATGAAAACACATTGGCTTATGGAAAAATGGAAATAAAACAGATTAACAGAGTTGGAAACGACCTTGCAGGACTTCTAGTCCAACCCATGGTCAAACAGGAGACCCTATAATGTTTCAGACAAATGACTGTCCAATCTCTTCTTTAAAACTTCCAGTGTTGGAGCATCCACAACTTTTGAAGGCAAGCCATTCCACTGATTAATTGTTCTAACTGTCAGGAAATTTCTCCTTATTTCTAGGCTGGTTCTCTCCTTGATTAGCTTCCATCCGTTGCTTCTTGTCCTGCTTTGGAGAATTGGTTGATCTCCTCTTCTTCGTGGAAGCCCCTTAGATTTTGGAACACTGCTATCATGTCATCCCTACTCCTTCTTTTCATTAGAACAGACATACAGTACGCAATTCCTACAACCATTCTTCAGATGTTTTAGCCTCCAGTTCCCTAATCATCTTCATTGCTCTTCTCTGCACCAGAAACTCAACTGAAAAGAGAATTTACTTGACTTGAGCTTGACCTGTTGAAGAACTCATTTTCACTAGAACCTTAGAAGACAATTGCAGCACTGTGAAGGGGTCTTCAAGTTTGGCAACTTTAAGACTTGTGGACTTCACAGCTGGCTGAGGAATTGTGGGAGTTGAAGTCAACAAGTCCACAATCTTAACATTGTCAGCTTTGGAGACCCTTCATCAATGCTAGTCAATGCTCCAGGTTGTCTGCAAACATCTCCCTTGCGATTAGTCAACCTTCTTGCCCCGTCACATAAAAAAAGGGTGCATGCTTTGTGCGTCTTAATATGCCTACTGTGACAATCATTTTGTGAATGTGGAAGTTCCCCTTCCTTGTCAACCACTTTGTGAACAGAGCCTCACAAGATCAAAATATCATATCTATCAGTAGGTGGCATTCTGCTCCGCTGGATCTGATGCCCTAACCCTGTGGTGGCGAACCTATGGCACACGTGCCACAGGTGGCACTCAGAGCCCTCTCTGTGGGCACGCGCACTGTCGCACTGCCTAGGCCTTCAGCTGGGTTTTATAAAACCTTTTCGCTTTAGGCTTCCGCCGCTGTGTGCAAAAAAAAAAAAAGGTTCAATCAATCAATTTCAATTTCTCGCGGGAAAAAAAAATCTTGCAAAGTTGGAATTGATTGATTGAACTTTTTACTCCCGCCCAGTCTGCTGTTACCACCGAAGCCATGCCCTCCCAATGGGCCACACCCACCCAATTGGCCACACCCACCCAATAGGCCATGCCCACCCAATGGGTCACGCCCACCCGGCACCCGATGATACATAAGTGGGTTTTGGGTTGCAGTTTGGGCACTCGTTCTCCAAAAGGTTCGCCATCACTGCCCTAACCTAATGACTGCCACCAAACACGAGTTGAGTTCTCTTGAGAATTCCTTCTCGAGAGTCAGCAAATATGTGTGAATGTTTGTGGGGAGTTCTAAGGAACAAAGTTTCTTTCTTTTTTTTCTTTCCTCAGAGAAGTTGAAGGATGTGGCATATGGAACAAGAGCTGTCCGACTTCGGCCACCCGACAGTGACGTTGATGATGAAGGAGTCCCTAGCAAGGTTCTGAAATTACAACACGGCGAGAAGCTCTTTGAGTTGCACATCTCTGGAGCAATTCTGTCGGCTGAGGCCGTCCAACTTCTGGGAGACCCCGAACTTCTCACCTTTTGCACCTATGCCTTCTATGACTTTGAGACCCACTGTACACCTCTGGCCCACGGCATTCGGCCCCACTACAACTTCACTTCCCAATATGTGGTCCAGGTTGACTCTTTCTTCATGCAGTACTTGCAAGGAGCCACTTCTCGCCTGGATCTCCACGTGGCCTCTGCTGTTGACCACACCACCCTGGCCTCCTGCTGGTTGCATTTTGGCCAAGTGCTGGACAGCGCAGAGCAAGTTCGTTGCACAGCAGTCTTGCGTGGTAAGAAGAACGACTATGATCCCAAGTCACCCAAGAGATGAGTCTTAATTTCCATATTTGGCGCTTAACTTCCATGTATCCTACTTAGGTAGTTGAGATTGTACCACTTTTAGGAATATGGCAATATTCGAGTACCACCAGTCGCCTAGCAAGGTGTCAAAAACATGATGACCAAAAAAAAGTGATGAAGTAAAGGTAGTCCTCAACTTACAACAGTTTGCTTAGTGACTGTTCACACTGAAAAAAGTGGCTTATGACCATTTTTCACTCTTACGACCATTGTCGCATCCCCGAGGTCACCTGATCAAAATTCTGATGCCTGGCAACGGACTCATATTTATGATGGTGGCAGTGTCTGGGATCATGTGATCCCCTTTGGCGACCTTCTCACAAAGTCAACGGGAAAGCCAGATTCACTTAACAACTGTGTGACTAATTTAACAGTTGCAGTGATCTGGGAGAATATCTAAGGAGGCCTCCTTTATGGCATCTCCTGGAAATTTAACCTCTTCTTTGAAATCAAAGTGAACTTTTGAATTGAATGGAAGAAGGGAGGATCAGATTTAGAGCTCAAAACAGCTTTCTTAGAGCTATGTTTTCCCAATCTGTTAAATCTAGATCTGTGTATTACAAATCTTTGATATTATATTGCACAACAAGGAGTCTGGCACATCAGAAGCTTCACACAATCTGCAGGAGGTCAGATTGGGAAGGGGTGCTTCACACAGGAGCTCTATAAAATCAAATTCAGCCAATTTTGCACAGTTTGGGCGTCCGATTCTTGTAGACAGCTTAAGCCTACAATAAACCTTTATACCCATTTGAACTGTCTAAAATCTTCTGATTTCCCTGGTGTTTGACAGTTTGTCACACAATAAACCAGATGTTCAGACTGGATTTGGCATTTTTGTCTACCAATAGAGGACCTTCCCAAAGACTTGGAATAAGCAGATCTGGATGTTTGATGGTGTTACAGATATTGTCACAGAATGAAAGCTGTTCTGAGTAAAGCTGCCTTCTGCAATTGACTGAGGCTGATTTTGTCAATGCCCATGTTGTTCAAGTGGTGCTCCAGATGTTTTAGGATTGCACCCAAGTCGCCTAGTACTTTTGGTACTACCTCTGTTTTCTTTTGCCACCGATATTCTATTTCCATTTGCAGGTCTTCATATTTTGTTATCTTCTTCATTTCTTTCTCGTGTATTCTGCTGCCTTATTATTATTATTACTTTTATTCGGCTCCAACTCATCCATCCAAATGTGGTTTTCTTTCCCAATTGTTTCCCTACCCTTATCCCTCCAGGTCCCAAGGGTGAGGATTATGGTCTTTTGGAATACGGGATGAGACTTCACTTTCCATTCAAGCAGATTTCACAGCTGCCCCGCCATCAAAGTCAAACATATCTTTCTGCTGGAGCAGGAACTCAGATTGTAGCCCGGCCGAGCTGGCAACCACAAGGCGACAGAGTAAGAAAAAGGAGTTTGATCTACTGTTCAAAAATAAGACCTGTGGTCAGGATTTAATCCTTCTTGGTTTGTACGCAAAAAAAATAGGAGCAAACAAGCCAGAAAGCAAAGCTACAACACAACAGAAACCATTAGTGGAAAGTCAATCCATCATTTTGCCAAAGACTTGACTATTAAAAACTATTTTAAAGAGTTTTCAAGTTCCCCTAAATACCCAATAGTAGTATTTCTCAACCTTGGCCACTTTAAAACCGGTGGACATCAACTACAAGAATTCTCCCGCCAGCTGTTGAAGTTGAAGTCTACCCATCTTAACAGGGCCAAGATTGAGAAACACTGCCCTACAGCAACTTTAGGGCATCTCTTATTCACATGGTACAAGTAGGTCTTGATGTCTATGGTCTTGATGTCTATGATCATGATTTACAAGGTCTTGATGACTATGATTTATCAAGATTGATGAGATCTTGATGACTATGATCATGATTTATCATTTATGGCTTGTATGTATACTGAGAACTTCTGCACTGGAGATAAATTCCTTGGGAGTCCAATCACACTTGACCAATAAAGAATTCTACTCTACTCCACTCCACTCCACTCCACTCCACTCCACTCCACTCCACTCCACTCCACTCCACTCCACTCCACTCTACTCTACTCTACTCTACTCTACTCTATTCTATTCTATTCCATTCCAGTTTGTGAATCTCACGAAATGGTTTCATTGCTCAAAGTTGCCCTGCAGATCATCCTCAATTTATGACTCTTTGTTCAGTGGCTATTCAAAGTTATGGTATTGGAAATATTCCACAGCTTCCATCCACAAAGAACAACAGTTGTTTCTTCTCCCTCTGTTGTTACCTTGCAGTATTCAAAGGCCAATTTTTTCCACAGATCACATATTAGGGTACAACCACTGACAGGCTGAAAGAATCAGTGCAGGAAAACACTACTGTGTTTCTATTCAGAATCAGAATCCCACTTATTAAAACCTCCAGCAAGAAATGAATATTGTTGGACTTGAAAAAACTGTGAACTGAACAACTACTGCTGCTTCCCTGCTACATCACCACCATTCCTTTTTTTCCCTTAGAAGACCAAAGGCGTAAACTGGAACGAGCTGTGCATCCAGATCAAGAGCTGTGCTAATTTGAGAAGCCGTTGGATTGGCTCCCAGCCCAGCCCATATGCCGTGTACCAGTTCTTCACTTTCCCGGATCACGACACACCCATCATCCCGTCCAGCAACAACCCTGACTTTGAAGATGTGAAGATGTTTACTCTGCACATCACTCCTGAGCTGCACCATTATTTGCTTGTGGAGAATTTGTGGGTCTATGTTTTTGACGATGAGCAAGAGGAACCTGGAAGCTATTTGGGCAAAGCCCAGATCCCACTAGTACCATTAGCGCATGGGCATAGCATCAAAGGTGAGATCAACAAAGGATGCTAGATAGATCTAGCCTTGCTTTCTTGAGCTGTCTTCTGTGCTAGACCCTTCTGGAACTAGAACAATAGTTCACAATTTGGAAGCTCTCCAGGTAGGTTGGGGTGGCGCGGTGGCTCAGTGGTTAAGACACTAGGCTTGTCGGCTGGAAAGCCAGTAACCCAGGTTTGAGACCTGAGCATCGAGCGACGGGGTCACAGCCTTGTCTAAAGGCCTAAGTCAACTGACCTCATTGAA